GGATACTATCTCGATGGTCTTTCCAGCGAATTGTACGTGGCATCTTTGGGTGGAATTGAGCTGGTCCGATGTTTACTTACCATACGGCTATGCACAGTTCACCAGGACTCACATGTGTTACATATCTAGTATACGCGTCGAACACCACGGACGCAGCACCTATCACTTTCCTGGTTTCCGGTGATAACAAGGAACAACTAACCTTGTTTCGATCCAGACCTCTAGATCCAACAAGTACGGATAGCTCGAGCACTGGCCAAAGTACCACTCCGCTTCCAGCCTCATCGGCGACAGCTCCCACTTCGACGTCGGCAAATACTGCCGAGCCATCACCCGCAACTTCGAAGCCAACGAGCAAAGCATTGATCGCGGGGGTCGTTGTTGGTGCAGTCGCACTCATTATCATTGCCGGCCTACTCTTCTGGTTTCTTGTCATACGGAGGAAGAACAAAAGGCAGTCTTACCAGCAAGCGCCGCAAGTTCTGCATTACCCACCCCCAAGTTATGTGTCGCCTGAGTATCCTGGTCCTTTCTCGCACCAAGGTTACTTAGATCCGAACGGTGTTACTCCCACTGCGACCCCCTATCAAGATCAGAAAAACTTGTTCTCACCTAATTCTGGCTCACAAGACCCTCGGTACTCCTACTATGCTCATAGTGGTGTGCCTGGCGGCCCAACCCCTGTGAACAGTCCTCCCCCTGGAGAGCTGCCTGGAACGACTAGTCCGGTGACAGCAGAGCTGCCAGGGTCCAGCGAGGCTTCCTCAAAAAACCCCCGATGAAGATTCACACGTAATCATCGCAGAGCACTACCATATCCCAATCGGTTATCGTGGATTGATTGTTACGTTGACGATCTGGGTTCAATGTTTTACGAATCACGATTGCCTGAATGACGCAGTCGTGTCCGAGTCCACGCTCATTGCGAGCGAATATTCTTTTGTCCATTACTGCTTGCCTACATATCTTAGCGCTTAGATAGTTGCTTCAAACTCGGAGTTCTTGTTTTAGACCAATCCTATAGAAAGATTTTCGAAAAGATAGCCGGGGGTGGGTAGGCAGCGGATGTCGCCTGCCAAGGGTTGTCATCTGTACTTGCACACTCTTCTGGAAGCGATTGGGAACACAAGGCAATATCAAAGGAGAATATTTCTCAAGATAACTATACACAGTTTAATAACAAGAAGATATTCCTCTGTTTCTTGGAAACACTGGATGGATCAAAAGGGGCACTTCATGTTTTCCATGCACACCAATCACTGCTCTCTCGGCCCCTCCGTCACGGCGCAGTGATGTATCCTTGCCGCTGTGCCCTTAACATACATAAAAAAAACCAGCCGATCTCTTCCAGTCAGAGCTATCATCATGGTTTTAGATCCTCCATCCTGATACTGAGGCACAGTCGGGAAGCCTGTGTCTTCGACCGAGGAGGTTTTGGCGGCATCCATAACTTCCCTTCTCACCCCCTTCAAATTGTCTGCTGCTCTTCTTCTATTCGTACGCGCTGACAAAAGGGCTTCGCACGATGTCTGTAGGATTTCAGACCTTGGTTCTGGCCCAAATCTTCACCGTAGTCTTCGCGAACGCTGTCGGCCCGCCAACGATAACACCACGCGCGCAGCTGCCGTGGAAACCCCGGCAAAATACTTTGGGAACTCAAACGCCTACAGACTTTGTAGGGTGGAGAGTGGGGGCAGGATTCTCAACTAACACCTCTGACTGTATGTTGGGTTGTTTATTCGATCAACGGTCTTGAACTTTAATTAATCCATCATCAGTGATAGCATTTAGTTGTGGTGGTGCAGACCCTCCCGTTACCGAGATAAACGGTCGTGACACCTACTTGGGATGTTTTGTTACAGACCAAGAAGATATCATTGGCACTCTCTGCGATAGTAACACAGTATATGGATCTGAAACTTATCGGGGCTGGTAAGACTGGTGAATCACTCCTTGCAATGCCGCCTGGTTGACCAATGATTGTAGTTATGTAAATTTTTGCAACACCCACACGGTCTACACGGGTAGTAAACCAGACACAAATGCTATGCGTTGGGTAGACTGCTTCGGAGATGATACGCCCGTGATTCTATTTCAGCAGCTACCAGAAGTGACTTTGACTTCTAGCACCTCATCGTCTACAACTAGTATGGCCGCAAGTCTAAAGACGTCCCCTACTATCGCTTCAACACCCACATCGACCATAGCTCCACCTCCAGCGGCTAGAGAAGCTAGCAGGGCATGGGTTGCTGGTGTGGTTGTTGGTGGGGTTGCAATTTTTGCCGTTGCCGGTCTTGTATTCTGGCTTCTTTGGACACGAAAACGGAACAAGACCCAAGCATACCAACAAGCTCCTCAAACGACACAATATCCAACTCCTGGCTATCCTTCCCAAGACTACGCCGGTCTATCGCCTCAGCCATATTCTTACACTGATCCCGCGATCCGACCTCAAACACTCCTCATGTCGCCATACCAAGATGGCAAAGGTTTTGGTCCACACAGTCTCGGCTCAGAGGGAGGCCAAGATCCCCGGTTTTCATACTATGCTCACAATGGAGTGCCTGAAGGGCCGATACCGGCAAACAGTCCTCCGCCTGGAGAGCTGCCTGGGATGGCCAGTCCCGTGGCGGCAGAGCTTCCTGAATCGAATGAACGAACCCTGGGGAAGAAATGACGAGTAATTGGGAATCTCGAGTGTAATTACCACTCTACAGCTTGGGAGGAATTAATGTACATAATAGCGGCGATCGGAAGTCCTGACTTTTACCCCTTCAAACTCTTTTTCTCAGACAAGAATATAATACCTCTTCTCCAAGACCAAAACCTACGCCATCTTTTTCTTCCACCCTTCTCATCAATTCTCCTCGCCTTGTCCCACCTCGACTCATAAAAACTCTCAAATCTCTCCGCCGCATGTTTCAACTGCATCTGAACCAGCCCTGACTCATACTCCAAATCGCCCAACCGCATACTCCGTTCCTCCGCCGTCCTCGTACTGCTTTCCGATTTCCGAACCAGTGCCGCTTGATACACATTCATCCCCTTCGCCAAATCAATCACGGCCCGGATCGCTCTCACAGAATCCCCGTCTGCCTCAACCTGTTTAGTCCATAGCTCGACTCCCTCGGCAAAGGATGGTGAAAATGCGACTCTGAAACCAGGTGGACAACCGGCAGGCAGATTGAAAGTGATCGGAACACCACGGAGGTTGGTATAACCCAGTTCCTGCATGAGGTCGGTCGAGGTCTCTGACGTCGAAGAGGTGGTGGAAGATTCTCTGTTATGCGAGCACCAGGTACAGAAGTCTTCAAAGCTCATGGGATGGCTATGCACTGTTGCGCTGTTTGAGGTTGATGTTGTGGATGTCATGATGTTGAAGTCAAGCGAGTGGTGATGCACGGTTGATCATGTATGAGGAGGCGAATATTGATGAAAACGACGGAATGGGGAAAGCGATGGGTTGGGACTCCAGTGCGAGGGCGGTGGTTCAATCTACAGTTATTGGCGTGGTGGTTGGGTTTTCGCATATTGGCGGGCAGCCCTTTCTCTATTATTCACCATGGGTCATACTTTCCAGTTCAAGTGCTTTTATGACTTCTATTGTCCATTCAACGCATGGTTCAGTTCGCTCATAATCGTATTCTCAACTTTGTTTCCAGTACATACATGTGTCTATGCTTCGAGCACGCGGACATTCTGCCAGCGCATCAACCTCAATAGATACCCGTATACTCTACCTCCTGAGAGGACACTAAATCTGCATTCTTCATCTCTCTGTACAAGTGCTCAACGTAAGTTACAACAAAAAAAATCACCTTTGACCCCATTCAAGAGATGCTGTGGTGGCCCGTTCTCTTTGTTCGTTTCCATGCGTCACTCTTCACAACCGCATTGTTCGTGACTCGACCGCTACCCGACCTCGAGCCCTCTTCACAACCAACCTTTGAATGCTACTACCCCCAATCTTGCTAAAACCACTCATATAGTCTTTATAAATATACTGTATTAAATAAGCCTAGGAACTGGCTCGGGCGCACATTTACGCTGCTTTGCATTCTCCATCCCCACGCTTTATATATCATTTATCAGACTACCAACATACCACTGCTCAACTCCCCTACCAAATGCCCCGCCACACCCCCAACCCTCCCCTAATCCCCACCTGGGATGCGGCCTTCTGGTCGACAGCTCCCTACTCCTTACCCTATGACGCCCCAGAGCGCGGCTGGTTCGCACCAGTTAAATTTCTTGGCGAAGATGCATCTGAGTTCTTCGCAGGCGAGGAACCGAATTACGAACAGAGTTTCTTCGAGGGAGATGTGGGAATGACGGAGACGGGGTGGACGTGGGATGCTTGGGAGTGGGAGGTGGGGGCTACGGGGAGGGATAGGGATAGGGATAGGGATAGGGATAGGGAGGGTAGGGGCATTGGGGAGAGGGTAGCAGAGGTAAGGGTAAAAGAGGTGAGGGGAGATAAGGATAGGGGGAGGGCATATAGGAATCAGGGAAGTAGTAGAGAGAGGAAAGAATCCAGGAAGGAGAGAAAGATTCAAGCGCCTCAGAAGCGACGTGTAGGTGGGCGATGGGTGTGGGAAGGTCGAAAAGACAGTGCAGGTGGACAGATGAGTAGGGGTAGGGATGGTGAGCATAGCACTGTGTTGCCTTTGTAGACTGAACTTCTGCATAATTTAGATAGTATGGAATATTCACAAAGGACCATCCGGAACATTGTACCGACGAAATCCAGTGCCCAAGCTCCATGTTCCTTCCCCAAACGAACCAAATCAAACACAGCATCCGCACGAGCCTCCAATCCATAGTGACCGTAACCTCCGTTTGTTCTCTCTCAGCCCCATGCGCCTTCCGCAGCACCAAAAGGATATTCCCCTCTTCGATTTACCCTCCCCCATCCCTATTCCACTGGGCTATCCCCACAGCCCACTGACCCAATCCATATATCCTACTTCCCTCTCCAGAATCCATATACTGACATCCAAGCCCGGCTGGCACAATGGTTAGCGCGTGAGACTTTTAATCTCAAGGTTGCGAGTTCGAATCTCGCGTCGGGCTATAAACTTTTACTATTTTCCTTTTGGCGGTGGGGTTTGCCAGAGACAGAAAGGGCCTGATGTGTTGGGTAGGCCGCTAAAGGAAAGAGGGATATGTTGAAATTTTGTCTACGTCATACTGGACGGAGGATAAACTTTGGTAGGGAGAAAAATTGGAGATAGGTAGGGAACGGCTTTGTGATTGACTATAATGGCGTGTGGTATGTAGTGGAGTATCTGTATAATGCCTTGTAACATGTACCTACAAATCTCTTATCACCAACACTCTCCGTCCTTTCCCCTACGCTAACCTCTTCTCCCTAATAAACCAACTAAACCCCGCACTCCCCACTAACATGCCCACACTAACTACCAATGCTGCCCTCGTACTCTTCGCATAGCACTCTTTCACTACGTCCCTCACCCCCGGTTCCAAGTGTCTAAAATACTCCAGCGATTCTCTGACCCGTGCTGCGATTTCCTCTGCATCTTTGTCACCACTTAATGCAGAGGCTAAGGAGCGACGCAGAGTCTGGTTGAAAGCGGTCGCGCACATGGACACGCCGAAGACGGAGCCGAGAGAGCGGAACAGGTAGGAACAGGCGGTCGCGACGGCTTGGTCCGCGTGGGAGGCATTAGCAACTATCCAAAATTGTTAGTTCATTCGATATCTAAAAGGAGGGGAGGGAAGGACGAAAACTTACTGAGGCCGATGAGCGTAGTAGTCACACCAAGTCCATTAGAGAAGGAACATATACAAGTCCCAACCACCATAAGCGCTGTGCTCTCCATGACTATACCCGCAAAAAGAAGCACTACTACGAGGCCGAGGACCAGATCGGTGTACGAAACGACCGTAATCCAAAAGTACTTCCCCGTCTTCTGCATATAGAAGCCGCCAACCAGCGATCCCGTGACTCCGCAGAGTATACACGGGACAAGCAGCAACCCGGCATGCGAAGCGTTGAGGCCACCCGTGACTTGCCAGTACAGGGGGATGAAGAAGAGCGAGGCCAGCCATCCACCCATGGAGAAGAAGTTGCAGAGATAGCACGCGAAGAGCGTCTTGTTCAAGATAATCCGTCCGGGTGCGAATGGGTGACTCGCCACGTATTTCTCAACCAGCACGAAGACGACGAAAAGAGGGGTGGAGCACAGTCCAGCTATGGTTATTGGGTCGCTCCATGAGACGTTGGAGCCGCGGTCCAGACCTACGAGGAGTCCAAATACAGCTGATATTAAGACCACAGCGCCCAGGAAGTCGATTTTGAGAATCTTTTCTTTCCAGTGTGAGTGGTCTTGTTTGGGTAGATCGAGGACGAGAGCTACTGCTATGAAGGCCACGACACAAAGAGGCGCCTGAGCAATGAATGCCCAGCGCCATCCTATAGAGTCGGCGAGGAGGCCCCCCAGGGGTGCACCCGCTGCACTTCCACTCGCGTATATGGTATTAATGTATCTATGCCCGTCAATTAGCGACAAATGTGTCCCCATAACAATCCCCCACAAATACTTACCCCTGCCACGTCCCCCTCTCTCTCAGGGTGCAAACATCACTCAGCAAGATGCTCACCACCGTCGTCATGCCGCCCCCTCCTATCCCCGCGAAAGCCCTCGCGCCAATCAACTGCCCCATATCTCTTGCCAATCCACAACACAGACATCCGATGCCGAAGATGAGGTAAGCGAATAAGAGACATTGTTTTCGGCCGAAGATGTCGGAGAGCTTGCCATAGACGGGCTGGAAGGCGGAGAGGGTGAGGAAGTAGGCGGTTGCGATCCAGGAGGTGGAGTTGAGGGCGTGTAGGTCGGTGCCTATTGTGCCGTAGGTGGATACGACGAGGGTTTGGTCGGCGGCTGCGAGGAAGACCTTGAAGATATTGTCAGCACGCGGTGAGAATAGTGGATGGACGTGTAAGAGGGGGACGTACACCTATTGCGATAGCGGGGAAGATGTATTTCATCCGCGCCTTGACCTCGGGAAGGCCCTGGTGCTTGGGAGCGGAGCCATTGCTCCTCTGGCGCTCGATGTCGCCGCCATCGCCGCCATCGCCGCCATCGCCGCCATCGCCATTCACGTTTTCGTCTTCGCTCTCATCTGTACGGTCAATGCCTATCCCTCCTGGCGCAATGCCATCGCCTGGGTCAATGGAGTAACGCCGACCACGCTTTGGGAGGAGGGGTGAGATCTCTGTAGGAGCTGCCTCGTGCGGCTCCACGTGCGTCATGGCGGGGTGGAAGCTGTGCGCGGGGAAGCTTAAGGTGTGGTTGCCCAAGGAAAAAGAAGACCAGGGCTCGAATGATAGCAGATTTGGCCGCTTTAAACGCGGTCTCTTTGACAAATAGGGCGGCTTGTGAGTATTTCTTGCAGTTCAGGACTCTCAACGGCTTTTCAATGCCGTTTTCCGGCCCGCATCGAACATCTTCTAACCGTCTGGAGCTCCAGCGAGCTTCCACCCTTGATAGGAATGGAGCTTTATCGCAACCGCTGATTGGCTGGTGGAAACAGAGACCGCTAGCACGCTTCGGGAGGGCTAGGCCTGTCACGTTACACCGCGTTCGTGTTCATGCATGGCCTCAGCTCAAGCATGCGGGGACGGTATAACCCGCTTAGTAGTGCTGCGTTCTGCGGTATGACTGGACTGTTAGTCCCCGACGGGTTATCAGAGCTCACCAGCATGCTGCTAGCTGTTCAGGCCTACCAGCTTACTTCTACTCCACTCCGCGACCTCTGCCCAAGCCTTCCTCTTCTCTTCTTTTCCTTTTGCTGTCGCACTCTCTCCAACACCCCTACCATCTTCGATAACCCAATCTTATACTTAAAGCGTTATCTTGCGCAGGGAACTTAGCCCTGATACCACCATCCATACTACTCACCATGGGCATCCCCGCGCACGACACCTCAATCACTACCTTTGAGCCCCTCAAAGGCCACTGCACCTGCAAGCACATAACCTACACCGTCACCGCACCCCCTCTCGTAACGCACTGCTGCCATTGCACATGGTGCCAGCGCGAAACCGGCACCGCATTCGCTCTCAATTCTGTCGTCGAATCCACACTTTTCGAATTAACATCATACGCATCGCCCCTGCTCATCAAAACACCGTCCAACAGCGGCAATGGTCAGCTCATCGCCCGCTGTCCGCGCTGCTATGTCACCGTGTACAGCCACTACCCCGGCGCCGGGAAGCTGATGACGTTTTTCAGGGCGGGAACACTGGATGATGCGAGTCGGGAAAGGGTGCTGCCTGATGTGCATATTTTTGCGGAGAGCAAGGTGTCGTGGGTGGATTTGGAGGGCGAGAAGAAGAGGGGCGTGAAGGTGTATGATGAGTATTATGAGAGGGAGGAGGTTTGGAAGGCGGACATGGTGGAGAGGAGAAGGAAGTATTTGGAGGAGGTGGAGGAGGGAAGAAGGAATAGTGATTATTCGTTGGAGATTGTTTAGAAAGGAGGGATGGTAGTGAGCACGTGCGTGTTGTTGGGTCGGGAAGTAGCAAGATTGGATACCTCTGCTGCGATTGCGCTCAAGCACGTTAATGTCTCTTGATCATTAATACCATATTTTATAAACATCTTCTGTCTCACTCTTCTTTAATTACAAACTCACGCTGACGCAACTTGGAGAAGCCTCACCTACAGCTGTTTACCAGCACTAGTTCATCCTACACCGTATCCTATTCCGCCCTTCGCTCCTTCCCACTTCAACCTCTCCTCCAACACTAGCCCACCTTCCAACTCAACCTTAAATCAACCTCTCACCCAACCATCAACCCATCGCCACCATGAAAGAGTTAATATCCAACCCCGGCGTCAAGTTCTGGCTCTTCCAGCTCGATGGAAAGCTAACGTACTCTCTCACCCTCAACAACAAACCGCCAAAAGAGTATGAGCTCGCAGATTCAGACTTTGAGGGCGTGCATGCGCATGTGAAGGGAGAAGATGATCATGATTCCGCCATTCACACTCTGGGTACTGATGCTAGCGGGGTCGGGGTCTCAATTCGCTTGATTAAGAACGATGGGACTTTGAGGATGGAGTTTTTGGGGAATGATGGGGGAGTGGCGCACTGGTCCTTCAACGGTTTAGAAAAGGTTGGTGGTGGCACATCGACGGGGACACAGACTCCGAATTGGGGAGGGTATTTCGGGATTCAGACAGGGTTTGGTGCAAATACGGGCAACCAAACCCACACTATTAGCGCCAACCGGGGACAGAACATTTCGAGTTCTGGTGAAACAGGGACTGGTGGGGATGATTTGGCTCTTGGGCAGAAGCGAAAAGCGACGGACACCCGACCTCCAAACAAGCTAGCTAGGACCAAAAAAAATGAGGACGCATGGCCGCGTTTCCTATTCATGAGAGGCAAGAGAATCTCGCCGGGTTGGAAGGGACAGACTGGACTTCTATGCATCGATGTCCAGACTGTTAGGGTATGGTACGAGGGCAGCCATGGATGCGAACACACCGCTATAGAGGAGAAGAGATATGTTGATCTTCGGAAGGACACCCGTAAGTAGCCGTCCACTCTCGAATGCGGTATCGAAGGAGCTGACATGTTCCAGTCCGAGTCGAGTACGCCTTGCATGCGGGCGCCGAGCACTGTCGTCTCGCCCTTTACCATCACGACAGCACAGGCCCCAAGTACCGAAAAAGCTTTGTCTTCACTCTTGACCACTTCCCCGCTACGTGTCCCATCTATGGAAACAACGACGGAATGCCAAATAACCAAGAGATCATGTATCCAAATGCCACAATCATTGCCGATGCACTTGTCCACTGCATCGACATTACGTCCAGGCGCGAACCCGTGCACGACCCCGAAGCCGAGCTTGCATATCGTCAGAAATTCGATATTTTTCTCCAGCCTGTGGGAATCGCTAATGGACAGAACGGAGTGAAGACGTACACTTTGAAGAAGAAGGAGAATATTCATGAGTGGCAGGATATCCACAAGAAGGAGAAGGCGCGTGTGTCTCGTTACAAACAATATCGGAAGATGGTTTTAACCGCGTGTTC